TACAAAAGGTAATAACTGTGGGGGATGAGCTGATGGAGAAAATACATGTACAGTTGTTAGGTGGGGGCAGGATAAGCTCTGACGAGAAACGTTTTCAGGGATCGCCTAAAAGTGGACAGAGTAGGAGATAGTCGGACCATTGGGGTAGGGAATCCTGTGCGCATGCCCCCTACCCGAAAATACAAAATCACATACCGTATTTGCCGGCGTATAAGACGACTTTTTTGCCCTGAAAAACATGCCTCCAAGTGGGGGGGTCGTCTTATACGCCGGGTGCACTTCAGTTGGGATAGATATAGTTGCCATAGTGGCCTCCCGATGCCCGCCCGCCCACCTCAGTCTACATACCATCCAGTGCGGCCACAGCGGGTCATCAGCGTGGCTGCGGCGAGCATCAGCAGCGATACAGGGGTGCCAGCCTTTTCTGCTTGGCGGGAAGCAGCGGCGCTCCAGCCCGCCCCTTGTCTATGCAGAGCTCGCACATGCGCACTAGTGCCAATTACAGGGAGATGCAGGGACTGGCCGGAGGCGCTGCGGTCGCGTACAATGGTGACAATGACAGGTACTGTAGTGGCACTAATACTAATGGCACTCATGTGAAACCGGTAACAATAAATGCACACAGGGGTATACTGCGAATATAAATTAAGATGTTGAAATCAAATCTGATGTTCTTTTACGTTTTATTTGGTGTGTGGAAGGTGTGCGGAAGAGGGGGTAGTCTTATACGGCGAGTATATAACAAACTCTATATTTTGAGTGGAAATGTTGGGGGTCGTCTTATACGCCCAGTCGTCTTATATGCCGGCAAATACGGTATATATACATGATTTTGTGCAGCCCTGCCACTCTGTAGCTGTAGTTCTGTTATAGGGCGGTCGGGAAGTGGTTGAACATTTAGGTGATAATAATATGATCCAAGAAACAATAAAAATACTTTACTAAATCATTTTAATTAAAATATTTATTGTATAGTAATATAAGGTTTGAACAAAACCCCCCCACAAATCTATTGGTTATATGCCAATAACAGCAATAATAACAAATTTAAAGAACAGCACAGCACATGTTTTTTTTTATTAACCATGAAAAATATCAACTTCACAACGATTGTGTTTTTGGTTAAGTCTATAAAGCAGTCAACTGATTGGAAATTATGAACTTCCTATGTAGATGATATCTGATCTCTGCATTTAGTACAACAAAGGTTGTGTCCACATTTTAGAAAATGTTTCATTCTACACCCATATTTCTAGAGTTGTATAAAGCATGGAAATAAGGTATTTCAAATCCCAATAGCTTTTACATATATATATATATTATATATATATATATATATATATATATATATATATATATATATATAATCCATCAGGTGCTAAAGGGGCGTGACCACATATCAACACTACAAATTCTGGATAAACCCTCTACACACTGCTATACATCCTTTCTAGCAAACTTTGTAATAAAAAAACAGGAATTTTTAGTTTGCACATATTGCAATACTTGTTTAAGGTGGCCAGCTGAAGAGCAAGTTGGGGACTGGCCATATTCCCTCCATGGCCAATCCGCAACCTGCTCTGCAAAATGCAACTGCTACAGTGGATACAGTGCCAATATGGGGTAAATAAACACAAGCTGGGGGAGAGCTACAAGATTTGGGTCTGCCCACTGACCTGCAATGCAATACAAATAAGATATAATTTCCCCCAACTTGTCTATTTGCCCCATATTGGCACTATATTCACTGTAGCATTTGCATTATGCAGGGTAGAGTAGGGACTGGCCAGAGAGGGATTACTTTGACACAGTTGGCCAGGTTAAACATGTATTGCAATGTATGTGAACCAAAAATCCCTGTTTTTATTCCAAAGTTTGCTATAAATGGTATATAGCAGTGTGCAGAGGGTTTATCCAGAATGTCTAGTGTTAACGTGGTTACACCCCTTCAGCACCTAATGGATTATATACCTGTACAAGCAGGGCTTTTTTTTCAACTGAAACTTGGTGAAACTCAGTTCCACCACATCTGGCTCAGACCCTTTGCTCCCTGCTCACCACTATCACTTGTAAACACAGAAGTACGGCTTTTGTGTTTACAAGTGAAAGCTTATTTCCCAACAGCTCTCACAGATCTGATTTCCTGAGTGGCTCTCACCGAGTGCAGGATAGGGACAAGAGAGATGCAGGTGTCCGGGGTGCAGTGCAGATGCCGACACTCCTACTGGATAACCCCCCCCCAAACTCTGCACCTGTTAGTCAAGTTTTGCTAGAAAGTGTATATAGCAGTGTGCAGAGGGCTCATTCAGAATTTCTAAAATGAAACATGATCGCATTCCCTAGTCCCCATTCCTCAAACTTATCTGAATTTAAGGGTGTTTTCCCATGCAGAAATGTGTTGATGTTTGAATTTAGCATGGCCCCGCCTGCACAGCCGCATTATCCATTGTTTGTAAATGGTACTACACCATCTGCCATCTGTGACAGATAGGACTTGTAGAGAGCACTCAGGCGCTCCCTCCTCATTGTCCATTGTGATAAAAAATTTACAGAATTTAGCTGATGAAGCTAAAACACATTCAAACCAAACAGAATGCTGGAGGTGAGAGAAATGAGGAGAGAAGCCACAATAAACTGAGGGACCCGTCTGGAGATCCTGGTCTTCATGGAGATAAACCATGTGTAGCTATAGCTTGCAATCTTCCCACAGTTAAACACAAATAGGTGAGTGGTGATTCAGAGTTTGGTATAGATCGGTACCATTCCACATGACTAAGTTGCTAAAGTAAAAATATTTTTTGCAAGTGTCCAATGAAAATATTCTTCCACAAGATAAGAAAACAGTATATCGACCAGAAAAAGGATTCTGGAGATAAGGATCTGGTCCCAGGTTTCCAAAATTTCAGTCTTCAATCTTATGAAATGAACAATCAAAATAAACATATTTAACATAATTTTCAAAGCTAGGTTCACACTATTGCAGCTCTGCGATAGTTTACTCGGGCACGACAGCCCATTCATTTGAATGGGCTGCCATGTCTGCATCTCATGCAGGAAAAATGTTTTGCACCATTTTTAAATCACAGTAGCTGGGAAATCACATGGTGCTTTTGCTTTGATTCTCAACCACTCGAAATAGTGTGAATCCAGCCTGAGTCTTTTTTTTTTTTTACATAGAGCACTATTTGGTAATTTTTTATCTAGTGACATTTTATGAGAACACACCAAAAGTCTGTTAAGGCCTGCTTTAATTTAGCATTGCTGTAGACCATGTAGGCTGAATGGAGAAATGAAGGAGAGCATATCAGTACGGAATACCAAATATTCCAGGGGTTATTAAAATTCAACATGTCTGAAAAGGAACAAATCATGCTTGCAAAATAGAATACCTGGCAAAGAAAAAAAAGAATCATACTCTTCACAACATCCAAATGAGCCTCTAAGTTGGGGCTTCGGAAACTGGTCCCACTGCTTCTCATCTGTCTGGTGTGTCTCCAAAGAGACTGGATTAACAGATAGATGGCTCCACTAAATAAGAGGAATGGAAGCAAAGAACCCAAAGAGAAAATAATCACCTGATCCTGGTAATTATGCTGGAAATCAGAATTGTTCATTGAGATGCTTCCTAAAGAAAATTTGCTGAATTTAGTTGGTGAAGCCAAAACACATGCATACCAAATGGAAGGCTGGAGGCTATAGAAATGAGGAGAGAAGCCACAATTAACTGAGGGACATATCTGGAGATCCTGGTCTTCATGAAGATGAACCAGGTGTAGCTATAACATGCAATCTTCAGACAGTAAAACACGTACAGTACAGTGGTGATCCAGATATTGGTGTAGTGCAACACCATTCCAGAAAACCAAATTGTTAAATGTAAAAAAACATTTCGAATTTTCCATTGAAAATACAAATCCATAATATAGGCAGATACCACATTGGTCAGAAAAAGGCTTCTGGAGATTCCCAGACAGGTGAAGATCTGGTCGCAGGTTTCCATAGATTTTAGAGTCTTCCACCTTACAAACTGAACAACTACAATAAACACATTTAGTATCGTCCCCATAAAGCACTCAGAAAACAGCATAGCAATGAATATCTTCTTGAGAATGAAATCCATTAAATCCATTGTGTGATATGAGATCTTCTTCTGAAATGGATGTTAAATAAAGACTTGACTGCAAAGTCGAGTATCAGGCTATGTGTAACGATTTGGTTATACTGGATTGGAATGTACAGATCTTGTACACATCTTTCATGTAAATTGACCAGTCATGTTTCCTTTGCATGCAAATCTTAGAACCATTGGAACATTGTAGCATACTACACAGGCAACAAAGCCATAGACATAAGATTGCTTGTTTTAATCTATGGCCAGGCAAAACTGGGAACCACAAATTGCACAGACTGAGAGAAGCCATGCAAATGAAACAGTCTGAGCTGCAGCTCACATTTTAACTCATTGCTTAAAAAAATACTATAAAAGTTCAAGCCAGGCAAATACAGATAGGTCCATAAGTATTTAAGGCATAGCTCCACTTTTATGGCAAAAAAAATTAGCAAATAAAAAAAATAATATAGCAAATACAATTGTTACACAAGCTATGTTGTAATTTAATATGAAAAATGACATTTCCTTTTCAATCTGCAGCTGCTGTAATTGCATGTAAAATTTTATTCCATATGGCAACCTGGAGGTGTTCTCTACACTGTTGGTATACAGAGTACTCCAAGAAATGTAATTTCTGGCTTGTGTGATTGGCTCATTGATTTTTCCCAGAAGTCTGCATGAATGTCCGAAGAGATTTTAGGCATCCTCTGCAAAAGGCTGCAACTCCCTCCTGACTGGCTTGCCTTTGCATAGGCTATCCCTTCCCCAGTCCATCATGAATGCTGCTGTCAGACTCATCCACCTTACCAACCATTCAGTGTCTGCCACCCCTCTCTGCCAATCCCTCCATTCAGTGTCCTCTTCCCCCCTCTCTGCCAATCCCTCCACAGGCCTCCAATCAGTGTCCTCCACCCCTGTCTACCAACCCCTCCACTGGCCTCCATTCAGTGTCCTCCACCCCTCTCTACCAATCCATCCACTGGCTTCCATTCAGTGTCCTCCACCCCTCTCTACCAATCCATCCACTGGCTTCCATTCAGTGTCCTCCACCTCCCCCTCTCCTACCAATGCTCCCCCCTCCACTGGCCTCCATTCATGTGTCCTCCACCCCTGTCTACCAATGCCCCCTCCACTGGCCTCCATTCAGTGTCCCCACCCCTCTCTACCAATCCCTCCACTGGTCTCCTTTCAGTGTCCTCCACCCCTCTCTACCAATCCCTCCAATGTACTACAGAGTCTCCATTTAGTGTTCTCCATCTCCACCCCTCTCTGCCAATCCCTCCTGACTGCTCTGCCTTTGCATAGGCCTCCGTTCAGTGTCCTCCACTGCCCCTCTCTACCAATCCCCCCAATGGCTTCCTGTTCCACACTCCAACGAATAAAATTCAAGATACTTACAACAACTTACAAAGCCATCCACAGCTCAGCCTGCACTTACATCACAAACCTGGTCTCAAAATACAAACCAAATCGTTCTCTTCGTTCCTCCTAAGACCTCTTGCTCTTTATCTCTCTTGTCTCCTCCTCCCATGTCCTCCACCCCTTCAGGATTTCTCACCCAGAGCTGCTCCCATCCTCTGGAACTCCCTTTCCCAATGTGTCTGACTATCTCCTACACTGTCTTCTCTTCAGAGAAGCCTATCCTGCCCCCCACCTAACAACTGTACGTGTATTTTGTCCATCAGCCCATCCCCCCACACTGTATCGTGTTATTACCTTTTGTATCTCTTGACCCTCCCTCTTAGATTGTAAGCTCTAATGAGCAGGGCCCTCTGAATCCTCCTGTATTAATTTGTATTGTAATTGTACTGTTTTTCCCTCATGTTGTAAAGCGCTGCTTAAACTGTTGGTGGCGCTATATAAATCCTGTAGTATAATAATAATAAAAAATAATAATAATAAAAAAGGAATTTTAGTTTTGGGAGTTTTTGGGTAGTTTTTCTTTGGCACAACTGTGTTTAAGTGGAATTGCTGCAATTTCCCTGCCCTGTTGTTTTTGAGAATAATAGTTAAGTTTTAATCATTTCATAAGTTTATCATAGTTTAATGATGAAGTTTCTCTAAGCTACTCTTTGAGGAAAAAAAGGGGGAAAAAATTATTTGGACTTTACCTGGTGGTGGAGGTGCACTGGTGGTGCTATACCAGGCATTGTGTTGGGGACTTATGGATGTTGTCAAAGATTAGAATGACTGTGAGATGTGTGCCAACCGGCATGCTATTGCGTATATGCGGACGGTGGGATGATCTGTGGGCTGTGTTCCTGCCTGCTGGCCTGTCAAGTTTTGATCCTTAGGGACAAAGGGGCGGGCAGTCACTCTGTCTGTGGGGATGGGCCTTTCATCCAGTACAAAGCAATGGGCATGCATGTGCAAACAGGAAGTGATGTAACCAGCTGACATCAGCGGATGTAGGGATGTTTGGTATATAAGCTTTAGTCACAGAGACTCTATCCTTTGTGGCGGGGATAGCATTCGGAGATAACACAAGTGAGGTAAATGGAGAGACCACTGTTCCCTGCGGGTGACCAGGGAGGTGATTTGCTTCTGATTTTATGTAGCACCCTCCTAGTCAGCAAGGGGGAGCCAAAGTTTGTATGTTAGTGAGAAGGGCTGAGTAGTAGCCTGGGTGTGATATCTAGCAGGGTCAAATGTTTGTCAGAGCTGAGAGTCTCTGGAGGCTGCTCTCTGAGATTTCCCCCTGCACTAGAACTTTTGTAGAAAGTTCTAGAAGCAGTGGGTGGAGGTAAGGAGTGGCTAGTCTGCACTCTAAAAGGGATTCTATCCAATCCCCAACAGGAGGCCTGGCAAGGGGCCAGGACAGCCCTTAAGAGTGACTGAGCCTGCTCAGGAGCAGGAGAGTCCGGGTGAAAGATGGAGAAGTGAGGCTGGAGATCAGGAGCCTGGGAGGGGGTTCAGATGGAGAGGGGCTCACCTACAGGCAGAAGGTCTTGGAAGTAAGAAAGCTTGGGTCCCCAAAGCGAGGCCACCTATGCAGCAGGGAAGGACGGCACCCAGTTAGGAAGGCCTGGTAGCAGCCACGAACCCATCAGCAGCATAGGAGAAAGACTGACTGAGTAAACATGCACTCCCTGGGCCAGTAACGGGAAAGAGGCACTCTAGTGGGAAACTGGATTAGCTTTCTTACCCTGGACACACTGCAGTGGCAGAACACTGGATCCCCTGTCAGGGGATTCACCCAGAGCAACTAGATAAAGGCGTATCTGGGGTCTGGAGTGGTACAGCAAGGAGATGCTGGCTAGCTCTCCAAGAAGAAGGATCTGTTTCTTTTGCTGTAAAGAGACTTGTACATAGTGCAGGAAGGTTGTCTTCTGTTGCCATTACCCTTGGGCATCCCATACACCCATTGTCCTATCCAAGTTCTACTTCCCCTAATAAAATCCAAAAAACAAGCTCAAGGACTGATTACTGTCTCCCAATATAAGTCTGTGGGGAAAATGTTGTGTGTTGCCTGGCTGTGCAGGGACTTCTAAGGGGGTATGCTACAGATATATACTACATATATATATTATTTTATTTAATAAACACTGGTAGCCGACTATTCTATTAGGACTTATGTTTATCCAACTTATGAATACCAAAGATGAAAAGGCTGCACTGAAACTGCGGTGCTGGACCCAATGTTTGGATTTCATGTAATACTCTGGTTTTCATATAGGGTATGTAGGGTTTAGGTAGGGGGGGTAAATAATGCCTATTACATGATGCTTTTTAGGGCAGTTAGTGAGAACATTTTTATGATTGCTTTATAGTGGATTGGGGATTTTTTGGGGACCTTGTTTTCCTGTCTGAGTATACAGATCTACTGACAGGTAAAGCATGTAAGCATATGGTATTATGTAATATGGTTATTGAGGTTCTTAATTTTTGTCCAAGTTTGGTTTTACATGTCAGTGATTATAGGTTGTTTTACCATCCTAGGTATGTAAATATACATTGATCCGCACTAATCAGCAATGATGAGTGGAATGTAGCACCACCGATATTTAAATTCATAATTAGTCACTCCCATGGATTGCCTCATTTGTACTGTGAATGCATTACAGGCCTCTAACTAAGTAAGTTGAAGTCTACAGACAAGTAACTAGCTCTGGTAACATCAGTTTATTGGTATTTGGGATATTACAGCTAAAGTGTAAGTGTAAAGTCTACGGGCTTGGAAAAATCTGTACGTAAATGGATAGAAAACTGGCTGAAAAGATGGTATTCAGAGAGTAGTGGTTAATGATTCATACTCTGAATGGTCTAGGGGTGTCAGTTGGGTGTACCCCAAGGTTCAGTGTTGGGACCCTTACTTTTTAATAATATTATATAAACAATATAGGGTCTGGATTATAAATCCCATTTCAGTCTTTGCAGATGACACCAAGAGCCGTGCAGTGGAATAACGTCCTTACAGGATGTCTCCAATTTACAAGCCGACCTCAATAATGCTCTGTGTAATTGGGCAACTATGTGGGAAATGAGGTTTAATGTTGATAAATGTAAGGTTCTGCACTTGGGGGCTAAGAATATGCATACATCATACATACTATGGGGGTACAACTGGGGGAATCAATGGTGGAGAAGGATCTGGGGATTCTGGTAGATCACAAACTTGAATAATGGCATGCAATGCCAAGCTGCGGTTTCTAAAGCAAGTAAAATCCTCTCTTGTATTAAAAGAGGTATAGACTCCAGAGACAGAGATATCATTTCCCCCGGTACAAATCATTAGTAAAGACCTCATCTAGAATATGCCAGTTTCAGTTTTGGGCACCAATTCATAAAAAGAACATTGGGGAACTGGAGAAAGTACAGAGAAGGGTAACCAAACTGATAAGAGGCATGGAGGAGCTCTCAGCTATTTTTATCCATTTACATACGGATTTTTCCAAGCCCGTAGACTTTACCTTACACATTATCCGTGTGTGGGGAACTGTGTCAAATGCTTTTGCAAAATCCAAGTATACCATGTCCACCGCCACCCCTCTGTCAAAGTGTACCAGGTTCACCACCACCCCTGTGTCCAAGTATACCATGTCCAGTCCAAGTATACCATGTCCACAGCCACCTCTACTGTCCAAGTATACCATGTCCACAGCCACCCCTCTTTCCTCACCTCCTCCTAAAAAAACAATCAGATTCATTTGACTGTAGCTGTTTATAAGGTGGTATGAGGTGCTGACATACTTAGTGTTCCTGTACATGCATTAACCTGTTATCATATGTGACATATATTTCTACAACTGTATTCCACACTAGTCACAATTATCTGAATGTTTGAAACGGATTTCGGATTTGACAAGAATTAGGTTGAATTGATTGTGTTAGGGTGGACAGTTCATTACTCTGGGCTCTGTCGTACATTCTTCCTGTTTTGCAACCCTGCACGTGGACTTTTTTTTTTCACTTGCAATTGCACTTGAGCTGGTAGAGTTATTTTCAACATTCAAACTTACCACAGGAATAAAAGACTGACACACACCAATGGCATTGCTAATACTCGAGTTCGTTTCTTGAAAAAAACCCACAATTGATGCAATGGCAAGTCCACACCCTGGGGGCCAATTCATAGGACTCTGTGATTAAAGGCCGATTGGGTGAAATGCATTAGAGAGAGTGGTCCTAGGCCATTGCAGCGATTAAAGTTGCTTCACAAAATAAACTAGGGTTCTAATGAGACCATTGTTGCGTGGCTGTCTTTCATTCCTACATCAAGTTGCAAGCATGGACGGCTCAGTTCAATTCCCAGCACCAAGCATTCAAGTGGTAGCGGGAAGGTGCAGCTTAGAGCAGACAGGAATGTGTTATGTCATTCAAACTTACTAGGTGGGCTTTTTTGTGTTCATTTACATACGTGGGTTTTCAAAGAAGTGTCTGACATTCGATGTGTTGAACTCAAAAATCAAACTGTGGAACTTTGCATCTTAGTTATCACTCTATCCTTGGAACATGAAAATGGTTGTATACATATGATGGGCTTATTCAATGCAGGATGGAATTTATTATTTCCATCCAGAGGGGTTGGGACGATAGCTGGTGTTGTGCTTTCGTTTTTTTATCATTCAGTGTGTGCAGGAGGTGTAGAAGTAGAGATAAAGAGTATATAGACCTCCAATGGAAGACCATCTACACTAGGAGCCTTGTTTAGAGGAAGGGAGTTAAGAGATTTTGTTAGCTCACTGGATCTAAGATCAGAGTGATTGGGTTTACATCTACTTTAACCAAATCAATACCGTGCAATTATACCCATTCCTGCCCAGGCCAGTTTTCAGGTTTCAGCGCTCTCACACTTTGAATGACAATTGCGCGGTCATACAACATTGTACCCAAACTAAAATGTTATCATTTTCTTCACACAACTAGAG